GATAATTAACTAAATTTAAGCATACTTGACAAATTTTCAAACTCAATTTTCTCGGAAACAAAGCCTCATATAAAAAAATTGTATTCCATATTTTTGATTTATTTCTGCATGTAGAATCATATTTGACTAAACTTGAAATTTTACTAAACCCTTCACACCTTCATGAGTATCGAAGGTACTAATCAAAATTTCGATAATTGTGAAACATTACCTACTGCAGATATTTCAATATATTCTGAACCTGGTACAGCATTTTTAGGTATATCAATTGTAATATTCATCGATGTATTTGTTGTACTTCTAAGATCTATGAAAGTAGCCTTGTTTACATATTGAGTTTCTCCTTCAGCCTGTGCATAAATTAGTAGAAAAGTTCAAATTCACTTTCAATTAGCGAAAGATAAAGAATAATTTTATAAAGAAACACTTTACTTTAACAAGTAATTTACGCTCAACACTATCTCCAGCTAATATACTATTTGCAGTTGCCTTAATCGTAATGTATCCCAAGTCTCGAGGAACAATCATAAAAGATACGCTGCTTCCGGAATTAGCTTTCACTTCTACCTTTTTCTTACGATACAATTCTAATTCTAGAAAATTTTTCATAAGTTATGTTTATGTTATATACTATAGTTTGTACAAAATGTTTCAAAATAATAAAATTTTAATCTCACTTGGTACATCCTGAACTTCGTTGGACATTTCTGCAAAATCAAACTGACCCTCATTTGTTAACAGAACCTCAGCTACAACATTTTTGTTCATATAATTGAACACCACAATTTGGATAGCAACAATTTCTCCTCGAATCACAGAGTAAGGAAATTCCATAGAGATGAAAAATGGTCTAAAAACTTTTAACTGTAAAAACATAAATTCTTCTTTTTATATTTATATTATGGAAATTTTGCAATTATTTATATAGTCATTTTATATTACCTTTCGTGGCTCTTCTATAAGGCCTAATCCATGAACATCATTTACAGAAAATGCAGTGAGCACCCATGATGTAATTGAATCTGGTACATTTCTTTTCAGCTCATTTTTTCCTTCATATCTATTTTCAATTTATAGTTAATTTGCATTTTTATTTTATTTTGAAATACTATATCAATATACTTCAATTATACACATAAATAATAATTTACAAATTTATTTAAAAAAAATAAATCTGTATATAATATTAAATTTAATGTTTCTGGAAAATTAATAAAAAAATTCTTCCTAATATGGCTTATTTCTTCAAATAAATACGTTCTGTCTATAGAATATTCAGTACTAGATGTATTTTATAAAAATTCGTTAAATATGATAGAATAAACAATTGAAGAATGATACAATCTAAAGCAATTTAAAGTATACAGATATGAATGATATCTATTGGCTATTACTGATTATGTATGCCAATTATACAGAGTTAACAGAGTAAGTCACCTAATTCTGTCATCCCAAATTACTTGGAATTACTTGTATGTTGTATTAAAACTCTTTCGAATAAACGTCATATAGTATCAAAGTGGTGTAAAATATAATAATAAATTTTTTGTTATCTTATCTTTTTTTGAGATATAAAGGTCACATTGATTCAAATATAAATGTGTAACATTTGAACCAGTAATTTGAAAGAGTATTTTAAGAAACTATTAAAGTAAGTACATTAATGAAATATTCCCTGAATAACTTTTAATATAAAAATGCTTAAAATTTTATCCATTACAATTTAATACATGTTCATAGTCAATAAATGTGTGCAAATGACACAGAATTTTACTCCCATGTAACATTCAAATTGCAGAATCAAATGTTGCACATTATATATAGAAATTTAAAATAATCTTCATATCTTGATAAGAAAGCAAAATAGCAAAGAAACTAATTATTATATTGTATGTCCTCTTAATATCATACAGCTTTTTTCATAATAAGCAGTTTACAAATAATTTAAGGTAACAAAGTTAGATGATTCACCATAAGAATACCCAAAATATTCCAGCTTTGATTTATATAAAAGTAACTTATACAAAATAAAGCATGACCCATGAACGTCATTTATAAAATAATGTATACAAAGCGTGTACGTAAAGCTTCATAAACTGAAAGTATATGAGATAAATACCCTGCAGAAAAGTTTGTAAAAAGCCAGGTGTTTAAGATGTCATGCATTAGGAATACACGGGGCTTATTCCAAACAGGAGGTGGGATGCGAGAGAAGGCATAAGGACCTGCCAGTGGTGGTCTTGTTGCTAGTTTGTGCGTAACAGGTGGACCAAGGTCTGGTCGAAGTGTGGATGCCCCATGAGGTGAGCCTGTTATTCTACCCTCCAGTATTCCCGATTGTTCTGTAATCCAATTCTATATATTGTATTATATCAGCACAACCAAGGGAATAAAAAAAAAAAATATAAAGATATTGTAGAAATTAATCTAATTTCTTATTATATTTCATTTAAAGTACCTTAATTTTTTATATTCTAAGTTATATAATAATACTCTGATTTATGTTTTTGGATATGAATAGATGATTACATTGCAGAGAATGAAATATGAATTGTAATAAGTCCATCACCATAGCACTAAATCACATAAAGCCATTATTGAACAAATATTAGTAAATTAATTTAAAAGATGATATTATATATTAAGTATTTTTAGATAGTTAGCACATAGAAACATTTATATTTACTTAATGAGTTATATCAGTGTTGTTTTGATGATAAAAAAAAGTTCTCAGCGGATAAAAATTTTCAATGGCATTACCCAGCATCAAGCGTTTGCCAAAGCCAAGTTTCAGGGAAATTCTTGCGTACTTTCGTCTTCTCTGATGGCAATGCAATTGAACTGAAACTTCCAGCAGCTGTTGGAAAGGCGAACTCTACACCAGATCTGTAGTATACTATACAGACATAAGCCTTGTTAAGTAATAAGTACGTGATCTGATTAACTAAAGACTTGATAGTAAGTATTACATGAAAAATTAGATTTAAGAACATCCTTCTCATTCTACATTGCAAATGAATAAAATGTTGTTGACTAAATATGTTATGGTATTAGAAAATATTTAGTATCACGTGTAAGAGATAAGAAAATGATATTAGTAATAAACTTAAGCCATATAGAAAGCACTTTACTTACGAATTTGAAAATTTTCATGGACATAGGCATTTGTTATAATGATAGCACCGCTTTCCTATCAAACAATATATATTTATATTAATATTGATAAAAAAGTATCAAAAATTCATCCAAATAAAATTATTTATTTATTTACTCTGAAAACATCTTTTGCTGTAGCTGAACCAGGATTCCATAAATATCGATCAAAAACCGAGTTTGCATAAGGTGATTCATGATTATTATCATATGATTTCAACTCTTTATAAACTTGTTCCTGCGAATAATTAAGATATATATTAAAGTATTATTTATAATTATAACGAAGCCTAAATTAATGAGAATTATTTATAATACTACGTACATATGAAATATCGTTCCCAGATTTTAAAAGAATAGATCTTTGATCTACACCTAATAATCCAACATATGAATTTGGTTTTGAAGTAATAACTAAATTGATATCATCTCCTGGTGCAACTTCTTCAGATGCCATTTTAATATCAACCTTTAATAGAAATTAAGATATCAGATTCAGATTTATCAATTCTAATTTTTATTATAACTAATTCATCAAATTAACTTACAAAATTTTGAAGTAGTCCTTCTAGTTCAACATCTAAGGCATCTGCAATGATTTCTCCATCATTTCCTATATAATATATAATTACATGTGCAGTAGGAGCCATGACATATGTTGCTAAGAACCTAAAATATATTTCATACTTTGTAGATAAATAATAAACGAAATAGATTATATTGTAATTAGATATTAAAAAATATTTACTTAAAACTTGTTGTATGTTTATTTTGTACATATATAGAACCTGCATCCAATATATCGCCACGTCCAAATATCTCGTAATTAATATATTTCAATAGAGCTGTAGAATTTACTTCAATTTCTACGTCTCGATTAACCTTATACAAGAATATCATATTCTTTTAATGATGATTTTCATACTTTTAAAATAATTTAAATAACATAAAGATGATCATACCATAGGTTTTTCAGTTTTCAAAACAGCTTGTATATATTCATTATTCTGAGACATAGCTTGGTTTGTTGATGGGAACCATTCATGAAGGTTTAAATATTGAGCCTATTTATAATCATTTTTTTGGTGGTTATTGTTAAATCATTATTTCTATTATTAATTTCAGTGCTTTTGTATCTACTATAATATTTTACCTCTATGTTTAAAGGATATGACATATTATCATTAGTTTTTGGTGGATAAAAATCCAACTTTACCATTCCATTTTCATCCAACATACCAGTAATATTCGTGTATGTGGACTGATTATCGGTAATGTAAGTATACCCATATTTTACCATAACAAAATTTTTGTTATCTCTCACTGGTGTTCCATCATGATATGTTAATTTTATCTATAAGAAGTTTTCTCATATTATATCTATAATATTTAAAAGAGGATTTAAATTTATAATGTTACGGGTAATTTTGACTACATACAAATGCTGTATACTTTAATCCTGGTTTATAGTATTCTGATGTTTTTATCAAATCCATTGTGTATTTATGTTTATGTAAGGTTATATGTGCAGAAGTATTCTGTCTTCTACCAGTTAAAGATTCTTCTACTGTAACATCAAGCATAACTGGTCTTTCATATTCATCAGTAAGCCTTAAAAATTGAAATTAAATTATATCTTTTCTCAAAAAATATTTAATAACGCTTTTTAAGATATATATATATATATACCTTAATTCATCATGAATGTCAAAATCAACAACTATTTTCCCATTTATTGGAATTACTTTTCGTATAGGCTGTTGGTATATTGGTTGGATAACATCAGAAAATATATCAGGATATGCTGTAACAGTTGCTTCTCCTTTCACTGGCTTACCATAAGTATACCTAAATGATTTGCACTTTGAAATAAATAATTTTTGTCAAATCTTTTAGGAGAATACTAAGACATCATTAAATAACATCAATGACGCTGTTACAATTGTGGTACAGGAATCAATTTAAAAAAATTTGTAATATGCTTTTAGGAACTTACAGAAAGTTTACTTAACTATTAGAATTCACTTACTTGGCATAGATTGTTGCAGTGATTTTTGATTCCTTAAATGTAAAATGTTTAGGAGCATCAATTATCACTTCAAAATTAGGTAATACATATTCAGCAACTTCAAAATCTTTTTCAAATGTTTGATCACCAATATTTGCTGTAATTTTCCAGGTACCTAAAACTGGGTACTCAGACAATTCGATTTCTGCATTAAAAATTCCATGGGTTACAGATGGATGATTCCATTGTTTAATTCTATTTCCTTTACCATCCTATAAAAATGTAATGTAAATTAAAAAATTTGTCTTATTTGTTACATACACTGTATTTATTTAAAAATACTTACTACAATATAGATGTTTACTAATCTTTCAAGTGTTGGCCTAAGTCTGGAGTCCAACAAAATACATCGAAACATAACTTTATTTCCCGGTTTATAAATTGCTCTATCAGTTTGAATAAAAACTGAATAACTTTTAGGAATAAATTCTATCGACTTTGACTGTGAAAATTCTATTCCTGTTAAACCACGTGCAATTAATTCATATTTACCAGGAATAATATCATCAATCTAAAATTTAAAAAGAAATTAAAAAATGTATTATTATACTTTACATGCAGAGAAGTTAACAAACTTGAATTCATTTACTTCAAATCGTAAAATTCTTGTACTGTATGGTTGTACATGTGTAACTTGGGATATATTGAATACTTCTCCTATTCTTGAATTATTGTCAAATGACCCAGACAGTTCAATGTATATTACTGATGGTGTTGATACACCAGTAATACTTACAGCTACATGATATTCTGAATCAGGTCGTATTACCTTTGGAGCTATTATGCTATAGTATCTTTAAAAATATATTACAAAATTTGATTATTAAGCTATGTTAGATAATTAATTATATAAAATATTTGATAATACAATGTTTAATATATGTTTATCATATTTATTATTTCAATTAGATATCTAATAATATATAATTAAAATATATATATACATACTGTTCTGCAGTAACATTTAGTATTAAATAGAATAAAATAACAATATTGAACCACTGCCAATCCATTTTTATAGTCACTGTAAAATGAAAAGAAATTTAGGTTAGAATATAAAATGACAACGTTGACAAATTAATAAAATTACTAATAAGTAAATCTTGAATAGCACACTGTGCATAAATGTAGTAGCATATATAAATAACATAAGCAAAATTTAGTATATTATATAGTACCTACATATGTACAATGACAGAGATAAAAGTTATTTTCACTATGAGAAAAAATCTTATATCTTGTATCTTAAATCGTATATCTTGATTGTAAATATAAAAGATGGTCGTTCTATTATATAATTTTGTAATTATCGACACTTCAAAGTGTCAAACTGGTTTTTCCATTGGCAATTATGTATTTTTTAATGATGGCACAATGATTTGTGAGCACAATCATGTGACTAAAGCAATGGGAAAACCCAAGAGCTAAGAATTTCATTTTGTCAATATTAAAATGTACTCTTCAATCTTTTATCATTGAAATATCCAGAAAAATGGTTTTATTTTACTTAATATACAACGATTAACGCAAATAAATTTTGGAAATTTATGCATTTAAAATTTTTATAAACATATTGCTCAGTCATTTATTTTAATAAAAGCTACTTATATAAATTATATTGAATAGATCCTTATTTTATAAAATCACATTATAATAATTCTAATATATGTATACAAATCAATGTAATACTTATAGTATTTATATAATATTTTACATATTACTCTGTATATCAAAAAATTTGTCTTTCTAATCTTCTACTCTAATCTATACTTGTTAATAATATTATGTTCATACATATTTAAACATACAATTTATAATATAACATATAATTCATGATATATAATTATATTATTGGTATATAATTTTGTACAATTTCGTATACTCATTCGTAATAGTCATTAATAGCGATGAATATATCATATATTACTATTATAAACATTCTTAAATTGATATCTTGGGTTTAATATATCATTTTCTGATTACAGAATTCATTTCTTTTCCTCATCTAACAAAATTAGTAAAATTATTTTAAAAAATGAATTTTTTAACATTTAAAAAAAAAACTCGGAATTGAATTGTGTTTCGAAGATATTATTCAATTTTTATTTAATACGTTTGAAAATATAAATAGTTGTTATTTTAAATATATATTTTGAAATTTATAGTCATATCATTTTCTTCCAATTATCTTTTCAGTTTTGTGTTAGATTATTTTATGATACATTAGTTACGTTCTAAATAAAATACATCTGTCAAACATTACTTATTTTTCTAAATGGACCAACGGAATCTATGTACATAGTTATTGATTAGAAAGTAGTACGACAGAAGTTTACATTTTATATGTTCTCCAAACTCTATTACTTGATAAATTCATACGGATTTTATAATTCGATCACAAATTCGGAAAATATACATTTTAACAATTTTAACAATTTATTTATTTAAGAAGAAAATACATATGTCGTAATTTTTACTAATAATATATATAAATGAAAGGATAATTTATGCTAGGATCGCGTCATCTTACAAAACAATTCTGAACAGTGACTCACCTCGCCGAAGGATTTATTTTACTTGTATTTTCAAGTATATTATTCTGGTTATGATATGATATCACGGTCCTTTTGGAAAATGAAACTATCGAAGAAAACAAAGTTGCAAAGCTTCCGATGCAACAGTTAGACAAATACTAACAAGCATTACCAATCATGGTTCGAAGAAAGCAAGCGAGCAAGTGCAGGTTTCCCTTCCTTCTGGCTACTTCACTTCTCCTGTATATATCTGTCACGTTTTTACCGTTATGGGAGTAAGAAGCCAGCCACCGAAGTATCACTGTTGTAAAATCTGACTCTGATTATCCGTTTGCACAACTTCAATATCTTCAATATCATCGCGAACTATATTTTTCAATGAACCACAAGCAGCTAAAAATGTATCCTACGCTATGTATTGATGATGTTATGTTCTTTTATTCGAAATTTATCATTGTACGTGCTATTCTTCCTGAATTAAGCCGTTCAAAAGTTACATTGATCAACTCCATAAATCGAAAAATAGAACAAAGTGATGACATTGAGAACATTATTTTCTAAAAATTATTTTAGAATTTATTATTATATATGCCACCTCCTTAAATAATTACCTCCAGTAAATAAGTTTATGTAAATGAATCGTTTGTTTTTTAGGACCTACATAAGTAATAAAATCTAAAAATATACATATGTATAAAAAGTACAATTGATCAATTTGTTTTTTGAGAAGCTCAGTTAATAACAAATCAAAAATTGTATAAGATGACATTAATATATTAATATATTCTTTCCTCGATTAAGATTTTATACATTTACAAAACATTATTTAGTAAACAGAAAAAAGACTAAGTAGGAAAATAAGATAATTTTAATATTTTCATAAATTTATTAGAATTATTTATATGAATTTTTTGTAGCTTTTAATTTCATGGAAATCTTAAAATTACTTGAGAACATAATATATGGTAATATCAATATTTTTTTATTTAATTGTGGAAAATTAGTTTGCTACTAATTATTTATGGATTTTTATACAATATTGCTCTACTTTTACTAGACTTCATTTATTGACCTTGACATGAATTTGCGACATAGTTTAATGTGTGTCACGTTTAATATGAACGAAATTACACAATTCATATTTTCTAAACAGACAAATTTTATTCACAAATAAAAAAAGTTAATTTTTAAGAAGCTTTTCTTCATGGTGTTTGTTGTCAGATACTAAAAATATAAGAAATGTATTAGCCATCAAGAATACATTTCTAATTTTCCAGAATTATGAACCTGACATGTGCATACATACGTGTTACTATCTACATATGTAATATACATAGCAATAACAGAGAAAAAATGTAACAAGTATTTACATGTTTGTTAAATCAAGCAATAGATAAGGGGCAGTCTCAACCTTCGCGTGCATTTGTCATATTCGCATTAAGGTGATCATTATCTTTTTCTCTGCAACTTCCTCTCTTCAACAATATATATATATATATATATATATATATTTATATATAGTATATAGTAGTGTATAGTAGTATAATATATAGTATATATAGTATATAGTACGAATTTATAACTTCCGTATTTGTCATTAAATAAAATAGTTATTGATTAATAAATAAATTGGTTAAACTTTATTTTAAGAGACCAAAAATTATTAATTTTTTGATTGAAAATACAAATCCTAAATCGAAAAATCCAGTGATTCGAAAGTTATGGCTATGTAGAATTGAGGAATTGTAAGATATCTTAGATGTTACTTTGATATTGTATTTCTTTTACCTATCATCTGATTGGTTTGCATAGATGAACATTGAACTGAACTTCACCGAAAATTAGTTTGTACTAGCAACCGACCGCCTCACGGTAGTCTGAGAGTAATGAATTAATGAATAACCTAAATCTAATTCAATCTTCACGATTAAAAATCTCGTCGCAAAATGGCCGCGAACTACGTGCATTTATTTACAGCCAGTAACTCACTAATTTTAACGAATCATAGATAGAAGCCAATATGGCGTCAAAGTAATTGGTAAAATACCCTAAAAATGTAAGTCAATTTTACATAATCATAACTCTTAAATCAGTGAGTTTCTCACCTTAAAACTTGTATTTTCGAATTTTACATGTCATAAACTACAAGATTGTAAAAACGGTCAGTAGTTTTTGATCCCTTGAAGTAAAGTTTATCCAATAAGTTATTTCGTTTCTAGGATAAAAAATTTAAAAAATCACATGTTTTAATACCATCATTCATACTCGTACTTCTATTTGTTTCACAGTACAGGTGCTGCACCATGCAGCCAAGTGTTGAGTTTAATTGACATTAGCATGTACAAGAACCTATGTATTTAAATTTAAAGTTGGAGATCTGCCCTGTTTAATTGCATACTAGCATATACAAGAACTTATTTAATTGTACGGTTCTACGGAAAAGTTTGTATCTACTTTTCTATCCGATTTTTTTTTTTTTTTTTGAATATTCTTTGTACAATCGTCAACATGGACAAACGTCGAAGTAAAACTACGCGAGTTTGGCATTACCGAATCTACAAAACGTGCTGTAAACATGACTATCTTGAATTCGTTTTTAGCATTTTCTTGCACAATAAAGTAATTGACGATTGGTTCTTGTCTATGCTAGTGTACAATCAAACAGGGTAGATCCCCAATGTTATAGGTTCTTATATATGCTAACGTAGATTAAACTCAGCACTTGCCCGTATGGTGCAGCACTAATCCGGGAACAAATAGGTCCATAAGCGTGAGCACTCTAATTTCCTCTTTGATATCATAAATATATATACATAGGTACAGTTATTAGTGATTCCAATGCTTGTATACGAACGATTTGATATATCTTATAGGGAATGATAATAAATAAAAAAATTGG